TCAGCACCCCAGGTGCTGCTGGGGGGAATAGGCCCCTTCCTATTTGCTGCTGATCTCCCCTAATGAGTTTGTGGGCAGCCACCAAATCCCCCCTCAACCTCGGCTTGCTGAGGCTGAACAGGTTCAGGTCCCTCAGCCTCTCCTCATAGTGCCTGCCCTGTTGCCTTCCAACCAAGCGGGTGGCCTTCCTCTAAACCCTCTCAAGGCAGGTCACATCCTTCTTAAAGTGCGGTACCCAGAACTGGATGCAGTACTCCAATTGAGGCCAGACCAATGTCGCGTAGAGGGGGAGTATCACCTCTCTGAACTGGCTTGAAATGCATCTTTGGATGCACGACAAGGTGTGGTTGGCTTTGCTGGCTGCGGTCTGGCATTGGCTGCTCATGTTCATCTTAGAGTCAATAATGACTCCAAGATCCCTTTCCACCTTTGTGCTTTCAAGAAGGGAACTCCCCAGCCTGTATGTATGGTGTGGATTCCTTCTCCCAAGGTGCAGCACCCTGCATTTGTCTACGTTGAACCCCATCCTATTCTCATCTGCCCACTTTTGTAGTCTGTCTAAATCTGTTTGCAGCCTCTCTCTCCCTTCAAGTATGTCCACCTGTTTTTCGTTGTTGTTTTTTTTGTTTGGCCAATAATGTCACTGATAAATCCTGATACCCCACTGTAAGTCTGTGGGGGGGAAGGGGCAGGGGGAAGGAAAGGGGTATGAGGGGGTAGATTGAGGCCCCCACAGTGAGGGAGGGAGTGCGGCAGAAGCAGGCGCTACCCAGCCAGAGAGGTGAATAGGACCCCAGGGCCAGAAGTGGAACAGAGCTGTGGGCAGCTCATCCAGGAGGAGGGGGGTGGCTCCCTGCTGCTGCATGCACCTGTTCCCTTTTCCCCAGATTTCTGCACAGGTTGAGGGCAGGCTTAGGGCCAGGAGCTGTACCAGCCTGTTCCTGGTGGGGGGCGGGGCTGGACCGGGGCTGCACTCGGAATGGGCAGGGGTAGGGCGGACTCAGCTGTGTGGGCTGGGTGGCAGCAGCACTGGGACAGGTGACTATGGGGGGCTGTGGGGGATTTTTGGGTGCCTATAGCCCCTCCAAATCCCCTCTTAACACCGCCCCTGCTCAGGGCACTCAGCTCTGCTGCCTTTCCCTTGGGAGCCCTGTGCTGCACATCCCCTGCCTGCCCTGCAGTACAGGGCTCCCAAGGGAAAGGCAGCAGAGCGGAGTGCTGGGGGGCTATAGCAACTCCAAAATTCCCCCATAGCCAGTCCTCCCAGCACCGCTGCCACCCACCCTGCCACCACCCACTCTGAGTACAGACCTGGCCCAGCCCCCCTGCCGAGAAGAGGTTAACATAGCTTCTAGCCCCGAGCCCACAGCAGGCAGCCCACCCTCTCCCCACATGCAAATCTAGGGAGGCATATGCCTCCCTCGGGGGTGCGCACAGTGGCAGGGAGCTGCCCCCTCTCCCCTGGATGAGCTACCCACAGCTCCATCCCATTCCTGGCCCCAGGGTTCTATTCACCATCCTGGCTGGACACTAGAGCTGTACAAAATTTCACTGGCAGTTTCGTTTTGACTCGTTTCGAGCTTGAAACAGCAAAATCGAAATGAAACAGAGTTTCGAAATGGCTTCAAAACAAAACAAGGCAAGGCAAAACATTTCGAAATTTTCAAAACGTTTCAAGTTTCGAAGATCAAGCTGGGCTTGCCTGCAGGGAAACAGAAACTAAAGTAAGGAGAGGGAAGGGGGGGAAGGAGTGCTCTCATTGACTGTGTAGCTGGCCAGTGACTGTCATCCTTTCCTGAGGTCTCTTCCAATCCCAGTGCTCTGGGGGAGGGATGGAAAAACTGCATAAAAGGCAGCATTGTTTGAACTGCCCTGCTTTCTGCCTTGGTGTCAGTTGAGTGAGGGCGCACCTGAACACGCACACAGTGTCACCCACCCATGTCACGAGTGTTGCCTGTCAGCAGCTAGAGGTGCAGGGCCCCAGAACCCAGACGTCCCCTGCACCTATCTCCTTGACAGCTGGCAGGCTTCATGGCTGCAGCAGGGTCTAGCAGGCCTGCAGTTTTCACCCCCATGCCCCAGGACAGACACAGTCCCACAAGCACCCATGTCACGAGTTTTACCTGTCAGCAGCCAGAGATGTAGGGCCCGAGAACCCAGAAGCCCCTACACCAGGGGTGTCCAACCTTTTTGAGCGAGGGAGCCATATTCAAAGACGTCACAGGAAGTGGTATTATATCAGGAAGTGATGTCACATGACCTTTGACACCAATGAAGTTGCAGGGGTTGACACGGTGCTGGTTGACATGGCATGCATGCCCAGGTTGACATGGTGCTACAGGAGCCGCTTGGCTACAACCGGGTTGACCTGGTGCTGGAGAAGCCGCGGGGCCAGGCCGGGGTTAACCTGGGGCACGCCTGGCCTGCCGGTGCCATGCCCGGGTTGACATGGTACTGCAGGACTTGCTTGGGCAGAACCGGGTCGGCACCAACCAGGAAAAGCAGCATGCACCTGAAGCCGGCTTCCCATGTGCTGCTGGGGATGGGAGGAGGCCGACCAGATCTGCACCGGCCAGCAGAAGCGGTGGCAGAGCCTTGTGCTGCTCGGGGCTGACCGTTGCAGGCTCTCCCATCCTGAGCGGCACATGGCTCTGCTGCCACTTCTGGCCGGTGCAGACCTGGCCGGGCTCCTCCTGCCCCAGCAGCACATGAGAAGCGACCCCCTCGGGGCCTCGTGCGGGCAGCTGGGCCCAGAGAGCCGCAGCGCCAGGGGAGAGACTGGCCGGGGGAGCATGCGCCTCCTTGCTGTGGGGCCGGGCAGGGCAGCGGGGCCGGGCTG